TTATGATCTTGCCAGGAAAAAAATTCGGGTGGCCCGTACACGAGTACCACGCTTACCCGGGGGACGGTTTTCCGCGCATCAACGTCGGCTTGGACGGGGAACATTTCCCAGAGGTTTCCTCAGATCTGCATTAACCCAATAATTAGTTGAAGACTTAATAAATTAAACAGCTATTAAATCAAGATTTACTAACTGAATATTTATTACCAATAAAGGAGCAGATTAAAGCATTTTTTTTCTCTCCTCTGGCGATCAGCGACGTCAAAATTGGATACTGGCAGTTAAAACCATGCATAAGACAAATCAGAATGTGTCCAAGCAAAACACCGTTACTAATACGCTATAATCCGCTGATAGCCAATATTCGCCTTTCTATTGCGAGATTGCTTTCTTCTTTGAGAACCGCATTCCATGTTTCGCATCCGTAAAGTTGCACAGGAAGGAAAATGGTATCGAAAAGTTCTGCCTTTACTATGAACTGTAAATGTTTCAATTATCCTCATTAAGATGTTATGAAAAATATCATCCTGGCACCCAATGATGAAAACTAATTATAGACAACAGTGGAGACATCGCTGAAGGCATTTAGCGCAGTTTCTCGAGCCTGCAGCGATGCATGTCGAGAACTGTGCGAGTCGGATGGTTACGGGACCGATATGGTTCGATGTGACGATTGCTGCACCGAGGATCTTTGCAACGGCAATTACTCTGCCCGATATTATATGGAACTCATGAAGGAGCAGTACACTTCCTGGACCGAACCACTGCCCAGTGAGAAAGCTTACAATCGAGCTAACAACATCACATTCCCGTACTGATCTTGCTTTCTTTTAAATGAAGTTTCAAGAATATAAAAATCCTAGGAATTTTCAGAATTTTGAGGATTTTTTGAAACAGCGTGCTATTGAATAACTTAAGAAGAATTGCCGACAACCCTGAGTAAATCAAAATCACTAGTCAACCCAGGCTGGAACGCACCAGGCTCTCCGGTGGGATCGTGCATTTTTGCGCTAAACTCGCAGACCGCTATTAGCAGGAATGATTCCTACGCTGTAGTCTAACACTTGGGCTCATATTGGCCGTGCTTTGATCTTTTCCGGCATGCAGGAGGAAGGGCATCAGTTGGGATGAAGGTGGTGCATTATAGAGCCACACGGAC